GAAAGCAAAGCATTTATAAAAATCACTCCCCATGTCCCCATGATGACCTTCCCTGCACAGAGTAAGTTCCCTCTTGGCAATGGCCTTCCAAACAGAATCTGATTCATTACGATGCCCCTTGCCCCATTCCTTCCTCACCTCCACCCTCCCAACCCTGGTCTTGTTGACCAGTTTCACTTTGGTCTCGCTACCACCGCATCTTCCTTCCACTTGAAAGGCTGTCTTCCTGCCTCTCCACTGCCGTCCCTCTCGTTGTCCTGCACCTCCACCATCCCCCTTCCCTCCATCACCTGTCTCTGTCTTTACCCCTATCATCTTCTCCTCCTCCCATTCTGCTTTGCCTCTCAATTTCCACAGACAGCATTTTCCTGACTCTAATATACTTTACTAACAAATAATATATTATACATTAATATAGTATATCAATTAATATATTGTATGCTAGTTAACATGTTACATTCTAAGTATATGTTAATATATTATGGACATATACGTGTGGACAGGAACACTGTAGTTATTTATTTCGCTATCCTATTTTTAAATTCCTACATGAGTTTCTACTTAAAACTATTTATGAATCTGCTGATTTTCATATCCCTGGGGCTGACTAAAACATTCAGGACAACAGGAGTCTTCTCTTCTCTGCCGATGGATATTCAGCCCCTTTAATGATGTTTGACTTAAAACAGCTGTAATCATAATAAAAAAGGAAAGATAGATGTGTGGAGGGAAATTTATCACATTGGCCTTGAATCGAGGGAGTGAAGTTATAGAAATCTTGGACTCATGAGTAAATAATTTCATGTAATAAAATTCTTCTTCATGAACAATAGTAAAGGAATGAAGTTAAATCTCCATCGAAGACATGAAAAAGTCCAGAGTCTGCAATGCACTCTTGTATTTTCAGGCATAAACTATTTGCTGGAGTCTGGCCCGGGATATATGAAAAAGCAGAACTTCATGAGACATTAAAACTTGTGCTCTAAAATTAAGTATAAGGATATTTATACAAAGCATCAGATTTTTAATCACTCTATTTGGGAGAGGTTTTATGTATGCGTGGCATAAAAGCTCCTGACATTTCAGAGTGACAGTAATGGATGGTGAGCGAGGAGGTATGCATGGAGGAGAGAGGAAAGAAATGGGACTCATTGTCTAAGAGAATATCAGAGGGCAAGGCTGTTTGGTTTTATCCTTTAGGCAGATCACTGAAATAATTTGATACTCAGCCAATGAATATAGAACATATTTTTAGAGTATAATCTCAGTGTCCAGTTCATTCAAAGACAAATTATTTCTGAGACCATTGCTGAGGGGTTGCGGATGTACTGCTGGATCCAACTTTAACTTAGGAGCTGGAAAAAATATCAGCTTTTATTTTCCAAGGCTTGCGTGTTAGTATATCTTGGCTGTATTGATCTTACCACTTTTCCTGAAAATGTGTTGCTTCGGTGGCATATAACTTAATTCCATGTCTACTAGGTAGAAAACTTGAATCTCTGTCTTTGAGATATGAATGGTTGCCAATGAAAGCCAAATATGGACACAAAGATGCACAAATCTTCACCTACCCAAATCTATCTTTGGCTCAAAATAGAAGGGAAATATATAAGAAATAAATCTGAACCGTGATTAGGGGATTTGATGACTCAGTAGTAAGACTTTTTCTTTCTCTTTTTGAGAACTTGTAGGTAAATTTGATGCAACGATCTGTAATATTTCCAGAATGTTATTTCAGGTTATAAGCAGGATTTTTCACTGTGAAAATAACTGCTTTGTATATAACAAAGTTCTGTATTATTATTGAATAAAAATATAAATGTTAAGAGTTCTTTCTTGCAAATATGGACACTTTTAAGCCCCATAAAAATTTGGTGATTTTTCTGTCAGTCATTAAATGTTCCTCAAGAAAGGGACAATGAGACGAAATCAAATTATAAGAGCTGCATGGTTTCCAGAATAAATTAGTAGATTCCAAAAAATCTCAACTTAATTTCAAAGTTAATCTGCTTTTATGGGAAAAAAGAAGTAGCTTTTTTATGTCATATTAAGCTTTTAAACTAAGGAAAGTTTGTTTTCAAAAATAGCTTATCTAGCTTTGGTTGGCCCTACACCCGTGTATATATGGTTATCAGTAACTTGATTGAGTCCATTATCAAAAAATAAAATTAAAAATTAATAAAAAGAGCAAGACTGCATACCCTTAATCCTATTACTCTCCTAGGGATGCAAACGCAGGTGGGTTTTGAGTACCAGACCAGACAAGGCTACATAATGAGACCTTATCTCAAAACAAGGAAAAGCAAACAGAAATATATGAAATTAGTAATGGGAAGTGCTGTGGATAATATGGGGAAAGGATTTGGATGATATATTTTATTGAGTATAACATTCTCTAGAATGAAGAAAAACGAACAAATGATTTATCTAATATTAGCTCAAGTGATGGTTTACAAACCATTAAATTGACAAAACTCACCTGAAAGAAGGGACTCTGGGC